GCCCGGCAGCGGCCCCCCACCCTCAGTGCGGCCCCCGTGCCGGACCGGGGACCGGCAACGGGATCGCAACCCTCGGCGCTGCTCCCGTGCCTCGCTCAGCCAGTGAGCGGGAACCGGTCCGTATGTGGGATCCGAACCCTCGGGCGGGAGCGCCGCCGCGCTTCCCAAGTGGCGCACTTATCCAGTGCGCCACCGGGCCAGCCCTCAAATTGGCTTTTTGAAAGCATTTAGTAGAAAGCTACTATCTCAAGACAGATAGTACAGGCTGATGGTTAGATTCTGGACCTGTGAATTCAGAGACACTAATAACAGTAACAGTTCTGTCTCTATGAACCCCGCGTCTATCGTCATCTCCGTACTTGGGTGTCACCAGAAAGTGCAAACTGTTCTTTCCACTTGATAAGCTTTTGTGAAAGTAAAGAAGTAGTAGTTGAACAATGCCCTGGAAACTATTCACACATAGATGCAGCATTTATTTTATTTTATTCTGTTTTATTTTTTTGATGGCTGGCCAGTAGAGGGATTCAAACCTGGACCTTGGTGTTATCAGCACCAAGCTCTAACCAACTGAGATAACCAGCCACCTGCAGCATTAATTTTAAATGAGCTTTAGATTAACTCCAATTAATAAATTCATTTCAGATCCTTGGAAGAAATAATATCAAAAAAATGCAAAGTAGAATTACTTCTTCAAAGTCTATTTTTATAATTATTAAGAACATAAAATTAGCTATTACAAGTATAATTATGATACCTTATTTTTTGTATTATGTTTCAAAGAAAGTGAACTATTACTGGCTTTTGCCTCTGTTTTTTACTTAACAGCACACTCTTATAGAATCATAGACTGCATTCTAAACAGAAATTACACAGCACAGGGTAACAAGCCCAGCTGTTAATGCAACATGCTACAAGTGTCCGTAAAGGAAAGAAGAACTGCATGGAAAAAACATCCCAGTAAAGAGAGAAAAATAAGCCACAATGAGGGCCCCCACAGCCAGTGACACTGCAGTGTGTCGTGATAATGGTGGCCTGCCAGAGTCAAATACTTCCTTACCTTGGGCCAACATGTTGTGTACCTGTCTTCATCTCCCAAAGCCTTTTCGGTTAACATCTGCTCACTGTCTTGCTGGCGCCATGTTTTAAATGCTGCTCCCATAAGGCCATGAATAAAAAGGACATCTGCTTTAATGGGCTGACTAAGAGGGGAGAGAGTTTTAAAAAGAAGCAGAATAAATGCATTATTGCTCTGATAAGACTCTACACAGCATTCTCTGTGGATGGTGCTTTAGTAGGCTTTTGGGACACAAAATAAAACTTAATTAAGACAAGCTTTAGAAGCACAGGTTTGCTGAGGAATCTTAGAAGCAGTTTTGGGAAAGACATACACGGAGCATGCTCACTGCTCTCTTTATAAAAAATGGAGACCTACCTAGCCAGGCAGACTAATCACATACACTTGTAATGACCTTAGTGATCAATCAAGTGACAGATGTCATTGATTACTCTGTAAAGAATTCCATGAGAATATTCCACAAATCAATAAAAATACTTAAGAAATTAAATAAGAATATTTTAACATAGTTTCAAAGTCAGTATGCATTAAAGAGCTTTTCAAAAATTGATTAAGAAAAATAAATAATGTTCATCAGAATAGAACAAATGAGATTTTAAAGTGAACTTTTCCTTGGATATGATATTATTAAAAATTGTAGATAGTATATCAGTTGCAAACTATAGTACACACACAATTATGCAACACACTATAAAATCCATTACCATATATTTTACTTATAAATTGGTATTAACCAGGCAATCCATTTTCCAAATCTAAAAAAAGTTTTTGCTATTTTCTGAAGTATTTTTTTAAAACTACCTGATATGAATTGTGTTGCCCAAGTATTATCTATTAGTAGCTTGGTCCCCACTGTGACTGTTAAGAGGGTGGGAAATCCTACTATGGTAATTGAAAAGTGGAGCCTTGAAGAAGTGATTAGATTGGAGGACTGTGCTTTAGTGAATGGATTAATTATGGTGGTCAGGGGCATGGTTCTGAGGGCTTTAAAAGAAGAACACATGAGAGGTTAGTCTCTCTCTGCTCCACCATTTTCTGCCATGTGAGACCCCTGGGTCACTGTTGCCACCACCAAGACCCTTACCAGATGTGTCCCCTGGACTGTGGACTTCCCAGACTCTGAACTGTAAGCAATAAATTTCGTTTTCTTACAAATTACCCAGTTCCGTGTATTTTGTTATAAGCAACAGAGACTAATACACTACACTATGAGAATCAGTGAAATATGTAATTTTTTCACTGTGGTCCTTTTTATATTTAATGTCTCAGCAATGACACAACTGGAAATAGTGACCAGAAATAACCTTAGAAGAAACATGAGTCACATTTATTACAATTTATTCCTTCCAATGCATGATTTTTTTATCTAGCATAAACGTTCTCCAGTCCCTTGCATTCTAGGCTTAGGCTAATTTGGTTGTCTGCATTCAACAACGTCCTATCTCCTTCCTATTCAGACTGACTTCTACAATCCAAATCAGTCATTAAGTCAAATCTAAGTGAAAATGCTTTGAAACAAAGGCATGCATTACAAGTGCAACACGTTACAAAAGGTGAAAGCAACCTGACTTTTATAAAGTAACCCTGATAATTTAGCTAGTTAGCACGCTTTCACAACAACCTTCAATCTTCTGACATTGTTATGGACAAATTGTTTCAGTAAATAAGGTATACAATTTACTTATAAGGTATTTAACTTATCTAAATTATGCACAAATAAATTAAAAATTTAAGCCCTCTGGGCTTTACGTTCCCAAAGGGGCAAAGCAACTCTTCTGCTTTCTTACCTTGCTCGACACTGGGGATGCAGCACGTACACACCGTCCTGGTATTTTTCCTGTACAGTCTCTCGGTCTAAATTAGCCAGGGTTCTGGCAGCATGTGAAGCCTCCATAATGTGGTGGGATTTCACTGCCTCTGCCATTATGGAAACCCAGCCTGGTGAAAAGAACGAATCTCCTAAATACTGACACAAGTCTGTCTCAGATTGCTGGGAGAGGTTTCAAACTGAAAATGATGGGAGAAATGCAAACCCCCCATGTCTATCCTAGACAGAGAAGCCCAGCCACTCCAGCTCCATTCTGCCCTAACATCTTCTGAGTCCACAGCATGACACCGTGACATCCCCAAAGACTACCCCTTAAGGGATCTCAGAGTAGGGAAGGGCCTTCAAGAGCCATTTTCTTTGTTTAGAAAATCTAACATAAATTGCAATTACTAAAGGTGAGGTCACAAAAGGAAACAAAATACCATGATGTTTTGCTTTTAGCAAGAATTATAAAACTCAGTGGGTTAATACTAGTTATTTCATCCTGCTCAGCAATCACAGTAACACCTTTTAATACAAATGAGGAAATTATTTCTTAATAATGAATTTGTTTGATATACAAAAGTCTTGGAGTTCAGGAAGGAAAAACCTTTTTTTAAAAGGAGGCAAACAGAACAGACATGGACAATATTATGTAGTGTATGAATTCATTTTTTTAATGTTTTTGTTTTTTAGAACTTAATGTACACAAATATGTATGGAAGTGCATGCGTGCACACACACACAAAAACACACACGAAGATCTGGAAAGATACACCAAACTAATGAACCGTCATTACCTCTTAAGAGAGAGGTGGGGTAGAAGAAGGTTCTATAAAAACGGTGGGTTTAACGTTTTTGCTATATCTGTTTTCTGAAGTACTTACAATGAGAATCTATTTATATATTAGTTGTATAGTTTTAAATAAAGCAGAACATGGGCCTTAGGTCGCAGAGACTTGGGCTCAAATTTCTGCTCCCCACTTATTTCTGTGAAACCTCAGTCAAGTTATTTTGCAATTCTGAGCTGGAAGAAGGTGTAGTAAATTAGTGTATGAAAACATTGGGCCTTTTTGCAGGTCCAGCAGGCACTCAATAGATGATGGCTGTTCCCATGACCTTCTCCCACTCCTCTGACAAAAGTGTTGAGAATCACTGTGATGATTCGAGGACAGCATTTAATAACCCAAAAGAAGTTTCAGACTCACTAATTCCTTAACAATATTCCAGTGGGAGCTAAATAACAAAGAAAAAAAGATACAACAAGCACAATAATACACTGAACTTTCAAAAGGAGAGAACAGAACTGAAGTTATCAGAGGTGGTCAAGGGAGAGTGGGAGTTAGTGAGAAATTGGTAAAGGGCCAAAAAACAAATTATTACGTTATATAAGGTCGAATATACTAATTATTCTGATTTCACCATCACATATTGCACACATGTATTGAGATTCAACTCTGTATCCCACAGGTATGTACAATCAACTATGCTTCAATAAAAAAAAGAAAAAATAATAATATTCAAATTTATAATGTCAGAAAATTCCTCTTTAAAATATGTTAAAGATTTTATAATCATAAAATAAGAATATTTTAAAATTCTACCTGCAGACATTTACAAGTATATTATTAGTATGCATAAAAATATGCTTTATTTTTAATGGAGTCAGAAGAAAGGAAACACAAGAAAAAGCATGGCACAAGCCACTTCTATGGCATTTTTGAGCTGACAAAGTATTCTCACAGTGCTAGAGACACTCCCCCTTTAACAAAATATCAGACATCCCTTGGAAAACATGTGTTCTTAAATATATAACATCTAAATACATGTTAATTGTAAAAAAATAAATGAGAGCAGGATTTAACAATGAAAATCCTGCTTTAGCACTCCCACCATTTCCCAATTCCATTTATGTCCTAAGGGTAAACAAAGTTAGAAGTTTGGTGAACACACTTCCAAACCTTTTGAAAAATGCAGTACTTATACATATATGAGGGTACTTCAAGAAGTTCATGGAAAAATAGAATTAAAGATAATACAAATATTTCCATGATTTTTTTGAAGTACCCTCACACATTGTAGCTCTATATATGCTTTTTTTTAAACTAAGTAAAATCATACTATTCCTACTGTTCTGTAACTTGATTTTGTGTTTCAGCAACATGTTTAGAGTGCTCTCCATATACCTCAACTTCATTTTTTTTTTCACTATAGTATTACATAGTATGAGTATAGCATTGTTTAACCATTATTCCTATTGGCAGACATTTAGGTTGTTTCTAATTTTTCCATACTATAAACAACCATCTAATAAACATGCTTATACACGAATCTTTAAGAACACCCATGAGTATTTAAGCAGGAGAGGTTCCTAGAAGTATTATTACTTGGTCAAATGATATAGACATTCTTTTAATAGATACTACTGTTGGTGCAGAAAACTGTTCCCAAAATATTGCTTTGAAAATTAAAAGGCCTCAGAAATAAGTCTCAGAATCAAGGTCCCCCTAACTTTGTCTTGTTCCCCTTAACCCAAGCACAGAGAAGGACTTTCTCTATAATTTACTCATCTCAAAGAGCTTTCCAAATGAAATGCAATGGTCTTAAGATCCCCTCTTCCCTTCCTAGGAATCTCCTCAGATGACCTGGGAAGAACAATCCTTAGAAGGACTGGACAGACCGGGAGGGCAGCACACCTGGACAGCTCCTCTTACAAAATTACGTCTGCCTCTCAGTCTCACCCCCTAATAATGATTTACTATCCCTCAAAATAATTGTCTACATTCCCCACCTGCCCTCTTCCCTTTGAAAATTAGTATACAAACTTCTGGACCCCACTGGAAAATTGGGAAATCACTCTCTTGTGATTCCCCCATGCATTGCCCCCTCCCAGCACATTAAAATAATAAAATTTGTTATGCCTTTTCTTCATATTAATCTAAATTTTTCAGTGATTTTTATTAGTGAACCTTCAGGGATAAAGAGGAAGTATTCCGTTGGCCCCTATACTACAAAGACCCGTTAAAAAAACTGAGTCAATTTACAATCCCACCAACAGCGTAGGAGAGGTCCGGTTTTTACACACCTTCATCAGCAGTGGATATTATCCATACCTTTTTTTTTTTTTTTTGGTACCTGGCCAGTATGTAGATCTGAACCCTTAACCTTGGTGTTAACAACACCGTGTTCTAACCAACTGAGCTAACTGGCCAGTCCTCAATATCTTTTTAACTTTTGTAAATTTAAAAGCAAAAGTTTGCAGATCTGATACTATCAGGATTGATACAAAATATATAAAAAGAGGTAAAGATACAGGATGCCTAAGAAAACAAACAAAATGGTAAGACAGCAGAATTCAAATTGGAGTACTGAGAAGTAACGGGAGCTGAGCAAAAAGCAAGTATAGATGACTTTTGAAAAGTTTAGCTCTAAAAGGGAGGAGAGACTGAGAGGGTGGGAGATGGGGGGATGTGAAGTCAAGATTTCTGGGTTTTGTTTTGCATACCTTCCTCTATGTGTGTTGATCAGAAGGGTCCAGCTCAGAGGGAGCAATTGGCCATGCTGACTAGAGAAGCAGGCAATTCCTGAGACTGTGAAAGGAGAAAGGACCCAAACATAGTTGGAGGTCTTATAAGAGGTGTCCCTTTTCCTACTAATAAGAGAAAAGGAGAGAACAGCGTTTGTGGGGTTTTTTGTGGTTTTGGTGGGGGAGGTAGTGGGAAATTGAGGGGAAATTCTTTTTAGGGCTTCAATTGTCTCAATGAAGTATGAGGAAAGATCATCTGCTCGGAGGAAGGAAAATGTAGAAGGTTTGAGGAATATGGAGAAGATTTAAAACAGTCATTGCTAAGAATGATAAGGCATGTTGACTGGAGAAACACGAATGCTGAGCAATACTGAAGGTCCTTTAATTTGTGGATCTTATAAGCACAGTAGCAAACAGTGTACAATGATTCTGTGCTCAGCCACAGAAGAAGCAACAGTAGGTTTCATCCAGGGTTGGGGTCTTTACCAAAGGAGTGCTAAAACGATAGAAGGGAAAGGGAGCTGTAGGTAGTGGCAAGAATGTTATTATAACGATGGACTATCGAATAAAAGCTAAGTCAAGAATAAAAAGGACTGATGGATTGGGAATGAAGAAAGGGGTCAGTACATAGATTTTGGTAGAGAAGAAAACCAGTCATTATGGAGTAGATGCAAAAACAAGCTTAAATGACAGGAAGATGTGTTCAGAGAGTTGAAATACTGTGTTTTAGGTAAAGTGATTTCAGACAGTGACTAGGTCCACACAGTGACTAGGTGTGACTTGGGGGGGAGGAGTACACAACACAGGAGCACAGCGGGAAGTCAATGAAGATAAGAAGGTCATAGAATTGGGAGGCCAAAGTGGTTTGTGGTTAATATCCAGTAGATATTAAAGTCAACCAAGAAGATTGAGGACTTGGGGTAGAGCCAGATTTCAGTTAGGGAAGGGTGCTTTTTTTATTTTAATAAACACACTGATTTGATCAACTCTCCATCCTGTTTTGAATCCTTAGTCCCCATCCTGTCAATAAACCTGAAGATAGTAAATTGATAGAAATCATCCAAAGTAAAGCACAGAAGAAAAAAAAAATTGAAACAAAATGCACAGAGTCTCAATGACCTGCACAACAGAATCCAAAGGTCTAACATAAAATGTACATAATTGAAGTCCCAGAAGGAGAGAAGAGAGAAAAGGGTATAGAAAGAAAAAATATTTGAAGATATACTGGCTGGAAAATTTTCAAATTTGACCGAAAACATCAATCCACAGATTCAGTCAGCTTAGTGGACCCCAAGGATAAATATACAAATGACACCTAGGCACTTCATAGTCAAACTGCTGAAAATCAAGCATAAAAACCTTTTTTTTTTTTCTTTTTGAGACCGGCCACACCGTGCTCAGCCAGTGAGCGCTGTGAACACACCGGTCATCCCTATATAGGATCCGAACCCGCAGCGGGAGCGCTGCAGCACTCCCAGCGCCGCACTCTCCCGAGTGCACCACGGGCTCGGCCCTCAATCATAAAAATCTTAAAAAAAAAAAGCCAGAGAAAGAAAACAATTAGGAGAACAAAAGTGGAAATAAGAAGAGACTTTTCATCAGTCA